TCTCCTAGTTAACCCCTACGCTCTGCATAAATCTGGTTTAGGACAGTTGCGCGCGGACACTGGCTCACTTACACTGTTACATAGGGTCCTATAGCGAGCAAATGTCCGCGCGCAACTTTCCGGATCCCTAAACAGTATAATATGTACTACTTTCTAGATATTTTATTTTCACTTAACTCGATGAAGTTTATAGTTTCTTTATCTTAAAATTTGTTCTTTTTTTTTTTTGTTTCTATTAAAACTATTATTTTTCCTTATTGAACGTACTCCGGATACATAAACATATGGTTTTTGTTGATTTTGTGTTGATGTTGGATGATGATCGAATAAACTTGATCGTGATGAATGATGAGAACTAAAACATATAAATAAATAATAACCGAGCAAAAAAAGAGAAAAGAACAGATTAATCTACGTTGATTTTATTTGCTTGGAATCAGTTTCTAATCCGTCAAGTACGAATTTCATTTGATCACTTTTATCAGTACTTTCTGTATTAACAACATTTAATAACTTTTGATATTGATCCATAAGATCATTATGATTACATAATGAAGATCGAACAGATAATTGACTCTATTATATCATTGAATAAAATAAAGAATTATTTGTTTAATAAAGTTCATACATACTGAATGACTACCATCATCACGTGTTAAACGAATATGTCGTTCAGTTGTTGAAGTATCAACTGATTTACCAAGTAAATTTTCTGTAATTCTTTGAACAATTTCTTTTAATAATTGTTTCATTATTTCTAATTCATCATTTAAATCTCTAAAGAGAATATATATTTTTTTGTTTTCAAATAAATATTCAAAAATAAAGAAAAAAAACTAAGAAAATTCAATTACGTATTAAGATCAATATCATGAAGATCACCATCATATTTTTTTTTATCTAATGTTTTAACTAATTTTTCATAATCATTTTTAATATTATCATAAACTTGTTTTTGTTCAGATAAACTTAATTGATCTTTATGCATTAATGTAAGAAATGATTTCATCTATTAAATACGATAAGCAAAAAAATACAAAAATTTTCTCATAAATAAAAATTTTTCGTTTTACCTTATTTCCTAATGTTTTTGTTTGAACAAGTAAAGTAGGTTTAGTTGTTTCGGGTGTCTTTAATTCTTCTAGAAAAAAAAAGTTATTTTCTTTTTTTTGGTGATACAGTTTTTATCAAAAGCTACTGATTCAATTTTACCTGAATAGACAGGTGATATACCTAGAAATAACAAAAGAAAAGGTATTGCGTAAAATTAAAAAGAAAAAAAAAAAACGAATTCATATTGAACAAATATCATGTGTACTTCATCTTAAACGGGTGTAGATATATGTGTTAAGTGCTTTGTCGCATTAAGCATATTCTTACACAATCAATCGATCAAGATATTTCGATACTTGTCTGTATATTATAAGTCCGAAGTATATATCAATTCATCGAACAAATGTCGAATAAATGGCTTCAATCAAGGATCTCTTTTTTTTTTTCTTAAATATGTGAATCGATTGCAATTTCTTTCTTTTTTTTTTGATCTTGTTTACTATTTGTCTATTGTGATTAAACATAAATATATTGTACAAATGCAAAAAAAAAGAAAAAGAATTTTTTTTTCTTTTTTTTACAAAATATGTTGAGCAGATGAAAAGTAATAGTTTTTAGTAGATAAAAGTTTATAAAAGAAAAGTTTTAGCAAGAATTGGAGGCTGATAATCATACTTAATTACGTATAATTGATTTGCTGAAAGTATTTTTTTAAAGAGTTTTCGATGAAAAATTTCATCATCTCAGTTACATCATTAAATATAACGATTAGCAACTATTTCGAACAATCAAATTTTGTTGCACATAGTTGACTTAAGAAATATTGCCAATACATTAAGTCATAATATGTAACAAAGTCTCGATACCATTGCAAATAAATCGGTTTAGATTCTTTACATTATTATGTTTTACGTCTTTTTTTGAAAACATTACCAGATACAGAAAGAAAAAAAAGGCTTCTAATCATCAATACTTTTCTAAAACTTCATGTTTGAGATATCGAAAATCACTATGATAACGTCGAACAAGATACTTTTATTATTCTGCATAAAAACCTATTGAATTTATTTTATACTCATCTTATTCAACAAATAAAGTACAACGTATTTTTTCAGATTCTCAATCTAATTGATAAACTTCAGCAATCGAATCGTACTTATTTACTAAATGGAATACCGTAACCAAGATGATGTGTTTTTTAATTAAATATCCTTTTAAAAATAGTGTGAACAAGTGTCTTGAAATAAATTGACTGTGAGTGATTAAGGTCCCTTTTTCCCATTAAAAAAAAATCAATCTTGACTCAGGGACATTCAAATTGCATGAAATTTTCAAGAGACATTCAAGTAAAAAGGCACGACAATAGTTCATTCGACAGCTCATAATTCTTTGTGAGTTTTCATTTTATAGATTTAATTTATTTTAGTTTGAAAAAGTATGTCAGAATATAGAGTACTTAGTGCTTTAATTATAAAAGTATTCTTGCGAGATTTTATCTACTAAAATGAATACTTTTTGTATGCTTAAAATAATATTAAAAAATAACTAGAATTAATTCTATTGATTATTAATTTTTCAATAGATTATATTTCATCAGAACTAAAATGAATGTTCAAGATTCTTTGCAAAGAAATTATGAAATATTTTTTAGATGATCAGACTATGATAATAGGAAGTGATACCTTTTGGTCTCTGATAGAATATGTTGAAAACAAGTTTAAGCACATTTTTATCAAATTAATCAAACAGTTTTTTTTTTGCAAACTCTAACAGTTTAACTATATTACTCAAGCTTAATTTATCAACTAATTTCATTGATGTTTCATTCAAGATTAGATGTAGACATTTGATTTTTTTTGTACAAACTTAGTAAGAAAATTTCATGATTTATAATTTAATCATTAGCTGTCGGGTGAATGACTGTTTTATTCTCAGACGAACACATCACATATATGTTACAAATTTAAAGGATGGTAATATAATGTTTTCTCCTGAAGGCTTATAGAAACTTAAGTGGACAAAAAATATAAGTGTTTTTTGAAGCTATTGCTATTAGTCAATTCAAAATGGCCGAAAGGAGAAGTTCGACAATTCTAGACTACGAGACATTAGATGATAAGATCAATACCATTAAGCAGTTGAAAGTAATATTATTCTTTCAGTCTCAGAGAGTAGGAAAAAAGTAAGTTCTTATTTGATATTTTAATCTTCATTTGTCGAACTATGAGTGTTTTACTCGATTTTTGCCCAGTGAGCGTATAATCGCTGAGAGCCTGGGTGATCGAATTTCGAGCTGAAGTTTTACCTATAGATAGACTTTATAGTCAATAGAAAAATTGTTTTCGATAAATAGAGTGAAACTTTGCAGTGACCTGTAAAAGTCTATACTTCCTTTTTTTCGAGTTGCAGATTATTTTTCATGACAACTAGGATCAAATCAGGATGTGCATCTTGTTTTTTTCATTGGTACAAATATTTTAAAGGCTGTCGAATTTCTTAGAAACAACAACTTGAAGAGAAAGAGAAATACACACCACAATTTGATCAGAGTACTCATAAAAAGAATTCAGATCGATTGGATGCATTGTATAGAAGAAAAGGGAAAAAACCACGAAGCAATCTACAGTCTTTGATATTTTCATTTAGAATTTTTTAACGTTTAAAAACAATTTTTGGTTCCCAAAACGTACTTAGTAGATAGATACTACTTAAAATCATACAATTGCCACACAAAACAAAAAAAACTTGGTTCATGAAAGGTGACAGGATACTCTTCATATCTTCATTTTGATCTAAATTGGTTTTTTTTGTTGAGTCTATATAGTATTTAATTTGGATTAGATCTTATTGATACAATTCAAAATATTCGAGATAAATAATATGGATAAGAAAAAAAGAATATTATTATCATTTGTTATCAAAATCATAATGAAATTATCAGAGATTATTTTTTCAGTAACACAATATCGAATGAAATTTTATGTTTTACGTTCGAAAATTGAACTAGTGTTTAAAAAAAAAACGCTTGCCATATCTATCAATAATTTCAAAAATCAAAATAATATATTTCATTGTATGAAAACATGATTGAATGAATAAACAATTCTACTAAATTGAAAAATATTAGTATAACTAAACAATCGTCTATTTTTTTTTCCTTTAAACAATAGTCAAAATTAATCGAATATTTTTACAATAAAATTTTTTACTTTTTCTAATTGGTGTTGTTGTTGTGGTTGTTGTTGATGTTACTGGTCTTATTGATGAAAATGGTGAACCAGTTGTTGAATGATATACTCCACTCGATCGTAGTGTAGCCATATTTATTGCTGGTTGTTGAATAATATGAACATGATGCTTAAAAACAAAATGAATAATTAGAAAGGTTAATTTTCTTACAAATCAAAAGAAAAAAATCTCACTTCAGAAGTAGTTGATCTAGGTGTATTTTCATTGAACATTTTTGGTTGAAAACGTAATTGATCAATAGTATTTTCAGCATGTGCATATTTTTCTAATAATTCTTCATAATTTTCATGTAATTTATTTAATAATTCTCCTTTTTTTTTTCCATATCGTTTTTCTTCTTTTAATTTTAATTTAAGATCATTTTGACTTAAATGATCTGTTTCAGAATCATCATCATCATCATCACTACTTGTTATTCGTTTACGATCATCTTTAAATGATGAACTATTACTATTAGATAATGAATGAATTTTTTTTTGATGATTATTTGATGTTACGAAATGAAATGCACTGCTACTACTTGTTGTTGATGAAATTTGTCTAAAAGAAAATTTTATATAAATATTAAATAATAAAATAATTTAACCGTTTATCTGCTGTTCGACTTGGACTACGTAATATTGATTGTAATGATGAATTTGATGAAACAGGAATATTTGAAATAGATTTTCGAGTTTCTATATTTGTCAGTTTATTTGTAGGAAAAGTTGATGTACGTTTTGGTGATGGAATTATATTAGTTTTAGTTCGATTTTGTAATGATAATGATTGCATATTATTTGTTTTTGAAAATGAATGAGTTTTTTCAGTACTTTTATTAAGACCATTTGGTGAGAATATATGAATTTTGGGTGATTGCTGTTTCTTATCAATTGTACCTACTGATTTACTTTGGTCCGAAGAAAACTATTGTACAAAGCAAAAAAAAAAAGATGAAGCAGTTATACAATAAAAAAAAAAGACGGACTGATTTATGATCAAAAAATGTCATAAATTTTCTTTCTTTTTTTTGTATACTGAGGACGAATTGATTAATCTGATATGACTTGTGCAATAGTAAAACTAATATTGGGTGAGTCGAAATGATTGCAAAATCGTGTATTTCATTCATATTTCAATGCAAAAAAAAATCATAAAAGTTTGAGTTTTTTTTTTTCTTAAAAGATGAGCTCTTGAATTCTCTACAAAAAAAGTTAATTGAAAAATTCTATTGATTGGTTCTCATAATTTCTTATAAGGTTTAATGTAATATTCCAAAGTTTTGAAATAAACAATATTTGCAATGTTGTTTAGTTTTATGTCTATCGTAGATAGCAAATATGTCTCTGGGTGCAGAGATACATCCACGAAATGAAGACATGTTGAGAAACATCTATAAAACTAACAAAAACTTTTGTGATTCCTCAAATAGCGGACTCGTTTTGTAGAGAATTCAAGCTCTCATCTTTTGAGAAAAAAGTCTTAAGCTTGAATGAAATTTTTGTGCAGAGATATCAACAAAACACTCGACATTGCAATTATTTTGAAGAAAACTTGAAATTAAAGTGCTAATAGATGCTTTGATACAACAAGTGAATAACTATGTATCTATGTTAGTTTATGGTGAATATTCTAAATAAATCTAATCTCGATAAATAAGTTTTATAGAAGATGTTTTTTCAAGACTCAACTAGAGACTAACTAGATAGTAACTGTGGTAGCAATCAGATAATGAACTAGAAAAAAAAAAGGAAATCTAATTCAGTGAATACACTTACAACTAGACGTTGATTAGAATTTAAGAGTGGTGTTTCATTTTGTTCAGTTTCTAATAATGTTGCCTCACCTTGATTAGTTGATTGAATAAATTTACTTTCATGTCTTGACGGTTTAGCTGTCCAATTATCATCAAATATAATAGGTTGTCGAGTTAAAGAAATCGATCGTTGATTCTTAGTAGTATTTTCTTTATTATTACTATCACTGTCTTCATCTTGTTGATTATCATTATTATGATCAAAAGAATTTTCTAACATAACGTTGTCGTCTTTGATTTGTTTAACACGGTTGTCACTTTGTGAATCGCTTTGTGACGATGAATTCGAGTTACTATATTGTACAAATGGCAATAATGATGGCATATAAGAGTAATGAAATTGAACTATTATATTGTATACATTGATTCCATATCTCTTCAATAAAAAAAGAAACGAAATGAATGAAAGAGTAGTTCATTGTTCTTTTTTCTCAAATGTATGTAGTATGTTTTACAATGAACAACAGCTTTTCGACGTGCAAGAAAGTAACAACACTTGATTGTTTTTTTTTTGTTTGATTTTCATTTTAGAAAAAAAAACGAATCGCATGTCTCGTTATTCATTTCATATGAAGCCCTTTTTTGTCTTGCAAGTGAAAAGTAACGTCTTTTACACTTGTAAGAAAAAAAAAATATTTTTTTGAAAAACTGAAATTAACAATTACTCGTTGTCTGAATGAAATATTCTCGTCAGAGGCATACAGGCATGATCAGAATTTCGATAGTGTAGTAACTTAATATGACCGAACTTTTCGGTAGTGCGACTTGGATAGTCAAGCTCTCTATTCCATGATAATATTTATATAAATTGAAAAATTATTTAGCCACATGTGAATGAACATTTCTTCGACCTTTTTTTTTATAAATGCTGTCATAGTAGCAGTCTCAAAATACATTATATTGACTATTCATATGTTTAATTGAATGTACTTAATTGAATATGATCAAGAAGGTCATCATGAAGTTCAAATGCAATCAATTACTATAGCATTTAGAAGGAAACAAATAGAAAAATCTCAATTCACTTTCAATTTCTAATACACACACCTGAAAAATATCAATTTACATTATATTAGGTCCTATGACACGTGATGATTAGATCATAGATAAAACAAGATAAAATATATTATGTATAAAATTGTTTATATGAGTAATTCAAAAAATCTTAAACAATGCAAAAGAAAAATAATTAAGAGAAAAAAACTTTCGATTGTTTATTTATATGAGATGTTACTGATTACAAATGTCCTAGATGAATTATTTATTTTGCATGCGTAAGGATTCATTTCAATCTATAGTTTCTCATCATTTTAAATATACGTTCATAACTTCTATCTAAAAAAAATTATACACTCGTCAATCATCGTTACACATATGCGACGTACTAATACGTGTACATTGATAAGAGACTATATCATATTTGCATGACAATACAAAAGATATCCATTGAATAAATATGATTATGATTAATGTCGGTATAACAAAAAAAAGTAGGAAATTTAACAATATTAAATTTCTACATGACATTTAATTCAAAGAATACTAATAAGTAAAACGTTCTTTTTTTTGATGTTGTATGATAGAGTTGAATTGTGTAACAAAAATAACGTATAAAAATTTGAAAAGTATATAACAATCAGTTAAAATCGATAAATAGAAGACAAAAAAGGCCAGATAAATTTTAATGATATCAATTAGTTCATCATGTTAGTTTTAAGTAAAGAACAATACCTTTTTTTAGCGGAATAAAAAGTTAATGTTCAAAGAAGACTTTCTGATGATAGCAAAAGACTCAGTTTGATATAAAATTTTTTTCGAACGCAACCAAATAACATTTATTTATTCCTCGATAGATATACAAAGTTACAAGAATCATATAACTTTATTACAATACGCTTTCATCTAAATTTCAACAAACATTTGCTTTAATATCATATTTCATCAATTGTACGTTCACTGTCGAATTTTCATTAACAAATCGTCAATCTCAAGCGCCATCTTCATATTCCTATTAATCATTGGTTAACTATTTTAATATATAAAAATTTCTTTGATATCTTTTTTTTTTCTAACAAGAATTGAAATAAATAATTATTATTATTTCAAATGAGTTTTAAAAAACAACTTCCAAATATTATAATATGTGGAACACCTAGTATATCATCGTTTTTATTTATTATTTTCAATTTATTTCTATTGTTTTGTTATAGGTGTAGGCAAATCTCGTCTATGTCAAGAATTATGTTCATCTAATAAATTACTTAAATATATAAATATAAATGATTTAGCTAAAAAAAATAAATATCTTCTTGAATATGATGAAGAAAATCAATGTGATATTCTTGATGATGATGCCATTAATGATTATCTTTATAATACATATTTTCAAAAATTATTACCATCTGGTCTTATTATTGATTATCATAGTGCAGGTATAATACCTGATAATAATCATATACATGGTATATTTGTTTTACGTTGTAATAGTGATAAATTATATGAACGATTAAAAAATCGAAATTATTCAACGAAAAAAATTGAACAAATTATTCAATTTGAAAATTTTCAAGTATGCCTTCATGAAACTCATGAAGCATTTGATGAATCAATTGTTCATGAACTTATCAATGAAACAGAAAATGATTTAAAAAATAATATTGAATATTTATTAAAATGGATTGATCGATGGCCATTAAATAATACTATTGATTAGAAAAAAAGAAATATTTCGTTTTTTTTTTTTTGTTATTCAAAGTTATTGTTTATTTATTACTAACGAAAGATATATAAGATTTTTATAGAAAAATATATATTCGAATGTTAATCATAATTTCGAATAAGATTGTTATCGCGGATGATTAACTATTTAACCCTTGAGTAAAATACAAAATATTCAACAAATAAAGGAAAGATGAACACGCAGATCGACACTCATACTGACACTTCCAATAATTTTCACTTATTGATTTTGACAAATTTGATCTTATTTGAATAAGATGAGTTTTATGAAAAACATTCAGTGATATTTTATTAATGAAGAGAATGTAGAAGAAAATTTTAATTAAAAATGTTTTATAATCGCTTAGAGAGTTTTGCTCGTAATCCATACTTGCATCGCATAGTAATGCGAACGTCAGGAACAATCTTCTGACCGGGTTCTATTTCGAAATTACATCGTTGAACTAACAGTGCCAATATAACTTTGGCTTCAACTAATGCAAAATTTTGACCAATACAATTACGTGGTCCAGCTGCAAACGGTAAATAACAGAATGGATGAGTCAATTTCGGTTTGAGACCGGTTACAGGATCTCGCAACCAGCGAGTATAATCGAATTCTAGAGGTTGAGGCCAAAACTCGGCTCGTCGATGAAGTATATAAGTATTGATTAAGACTTTTGCTCCAGCAGGAATACGCACTTGACGATTGCCTTTACTACCTATGTAGTGTTCCCGAATGCATTGTCGTTCGAGAAAAGGTGCTGGTGGATAAAGACGAAGTGTCTCTTGTAAAACAGCTTCACATATTACCAACTCGTTTATGTGTTCATATGTGGGTTCAGTACCATTAGAAAGTACTCTATCGACTTCATCTCGACAAGCTTGTAATACTTGTTTATTTGTCATCAATACGTACATGGTCCATGTCATCAAGTTACCTGTAGTTTCGTGGCCGGCAGTTACAAAAGTCAAAGCTTGATCTTTTATTTCTTGATCGGTGAACTTGTGTCCTTGTGCATCAACAGCCGAAAGAAGAAGATCAAGTAGATCATCACCAGAACATAAACTACTTGACTTTTCATGTCGACGATCGGCAATAATCTGATCGACAAATTTCGAAATTTCTCGAGAACCTTGATCTAAAATATCCTTTCGCCAATAGGGTAACTGTGCAATTAATGGTATATAATCGATCATGCGTATTGTTCGATATTCCATTGCTTCAAGTACTTCGATGAATGCACGACATACAATTTGTTTGGCATTAGCTATAGTTTCGAATCCTTTACCAAATGCACTCGATGCAATAATTGTTAATGTTAGAGCATTAAGTTCTGTTTGTAAATCAACAACTTTTTCTTCAGATGATAATAAAAGTAATTCATTAATAGCTTTAATTGTTTGTTCGACCATAATAGAAATCATGGATTGAAGTTTGATGAAGTGAAATGCTGGATTGAGCATTTTTCGAGCACGTTCATGTTCAACACCCTCACTCACTAAGAGATTATGTGAACCAATCAGAGGTTTAAAAAATTTTTTCATATCGGACGGTTTTCGATAATCTTGAGCGTGCGTGCGACTGAAAACATCAGCAATCATGTCTGGTTCAATAACGGATAAACGTATAGTTGGACCAAATCCTGTGAGATAGACGTAACCATGCTTTTGAGCAAGTCCCATGCGATATTCGGCACCAGCATCCTTTTCAGATGCACGACGCATTTCAGGCAATTGACCGACGAATGGTACAAAAGGTTCGCCTGGTATGCCTTGACGACGAAAATCATCATAGAAACGTTTTTGTGGACGAATCAAGTTCCAATAAATGATAAAGACTATAAAGGAAACAAGTAACACAATGGCAAATAGGAGTAGAAGAAGAAGAGTCATATTATTGTGTCTAGAATAGTTAAGGCAAGAAAAAGCATAAATTTATATGAGCATGATGACGATGCAAAAAGCAACATTTTTCTTTTCTGTCACGAAGAATGATTACCACGAGTAAACGTGTTTTGCAACTAGAAGAGAAAAAGAAAAAACACTCTGTATCATCTATTTTCATTACTGCTAACAGGCATCGATACCTCAGAAAGAGCAAAGTTTTGTTTTGCGTTCTGTAAGCACGTTCTTGGAGAACGACGAATGACAATTGTAGTTATTTCTAACATCTTCAAACAATTCAATAGAAGAGTTATCGCTATGATTACAAAATACTGAAGCGAAGAACTGAAGAAAAGTTCAAGGTGCACAAGTTCTTTGGATAATATTTTTTCAATGACGAAATCATCATAGAATGTTACTAAATTCATCACGGTTAACTTCAAAACCTTTTGGATACATCGATAAGTAAAATGAATTTACGGAAAATTTCGCTATAAGAAACTATTCATTCCAAACGAACCTTCAATCAGTCTATTCGTTTCTCCAAATAGAGGTGATTATCCGAAAAATTTCATGTTGGATCCGACTCGGATAGCTTTTATACCTATACTGGCTTACATCCAAGCTCGAAATAAATAAAGCTCTGAAGATTCTAATGACATTTCAATGTATTTTGTGGTAGTTATATAATGAGTTCTTGATTCATTAATTTCTAATTTTCCTTCTTTGAATATTTAAAATGTCTTCATATTACTTCGACAAAACATGAATAGAGTATAAGTTTTTGTTTCTTTTTGAGCCATATTTCTAAGCAGAACAGTAGACTTTATGATGAAACCATTGTATAAATTTTTAATTCACCTACTAGTGAGTTTTAACATTATAAAGAAAATGTCCCTTCGGAGGAACATTCGATCTCAATGGATTAGAGCGTCCTGACAATATAAGCTTAGTCTGAGATTTGTTACAGTATTACATGAACGAGTTTTTCGTTATTGTTGACCCTTTTAAAGATTGTCGCAACGGAGAAATCAAGGAAAGCTATCTTTCTCTTCACTTCTCTTCCCCCAATCTTCAAACACTTTTGATCGTCCTCATTTATTGTGCCTGTAATGAAAAACCTCACTTCGTTAGAATCCTGAATCTTTCATGATAGTGCTGATCGCTCTTTCGTATGACATTCAACAACTACTTTGTCTGTGAGTGTGGATAAACTCAAGGCTTACACACACGCACATCCCTCACCTATGTCATCAAAAAATCGCTCATTCACTTATGTTACGTTTTTTTAGAGACTCGACAGTCTCAATAGTTTTATTCATCACGATGTAACCGACATCACTAGACAGAGTACGTCGAATGATGTTTCTTTTGAAGGTGATATAGACCGAGGATCGAATATTGTTAGGAAATATTTGATTTTTTTATTTTTCAGTATCATAACAAATAATATTTTTATTTATATTCATTAGTATAGGCCTTTTTTTCGATTTAAAATTTCTATAAATACACTCGATGGTAAATAATGATTCGTATGATGATTTTGGTTTTATGCAAAATTTATTTTTTCTGATCGAAGTCTACTTAATAACGGTAAAATACAATCAAAATTATGTGTCGAAAGCAATATTTTTGGTCCCAGTTTCCAGTACTCATCGTTCTGTACTCGATGTTTTTGTACCACTTTCTGATGCCGGATTTTTTAAAAACACTAGCGACCATTTTTGAACAACTTTTGATTACTTTGAGTTATCGAGCTACAGTTTTCACCAATCGATAGAGCAAGAAGGGTAACATGTACCTATATAACATTCATTAGGGTCGTGACTCTTCATCATGGTTTTATCGAGACTGGGAACTTCTTCGATATTGTATTCTTAAGACCTTCATGGCCATCTCGAATCAAATTATCCCAGATTGTAGCCCATACATTGTTCTATATAGGGTTTAAGTTTCAGAATTTTCTATTGCATCCTTCAAGGATGAGACGTTCTACACTGAACTACTCATAAATGCCTCTATACACGAAATGAATGTAAAAGTGGTTCTGACTCTTAATTAGAATATACTCTACATACACATCAACGCTTACATTTTAAATGGCCAACCAGAACCATCGTGCTGTACAATGGCCCACACCCTCATGCACTTAGCCAAAAATTAACTATGCGAAATTCAAGCATATCATTTCGAGTCAGCATAAAGAATAATTCGTTGAAAATTTATTTAGAATACAAAAAATATATTGATTTGATTCATATACTACATTATCTCATGTCTTTTTATTCATTGACATAATTTCATTCTCGAAAAACTTCAATCGGTAGTGCAGAATACATGATCGAAGACGAAACATTTGTTAGTTTTCTTGTTCAAGTCATTTGTAAGGAAAATTTTTAGTGCTTTCAACATAGTTTGTTGTTCTCCGCATACATTCTCTAAATAAACCGTATAGTGTTCATGAGGTCGATCAATTTCAATATCTGTCACTTTGAAAAATGTTCGTGGAGCAATTAATACTTCTTTTTCATTTTCATAATTTGATATACATGGTAATTGATATAGAGGAATTTTACTTAAATTGATTGCTGTATCACATGGTTGAGGAAAATGGAATATCAATAGGACACTTATTTTATCTGACGATGATGATGAAGATCTTGCAGCAAACTGTTCAGCTACGTCTCGATTAATGGATGTTGACTCAAATGTAAGCAATGATAAAACACTATCTCTATTCTTCAATGCCCATCGATATTCATTTAACTGATGTTGAGTCAATTGAACACCACGATAGGAATATCCTTGATAATAACGTTCTTTCAAATCTGACAAATGCATAAAAAGTGGAAATTCCAATGGACTTGACGATTTCAATAATGATCGATAGAAAGGAGTTTCCAATGTGTAGAGTTTTAACAGAGATTCAATTGTATCTTGTTGAATGTATTCGTTGAGTAGGTGACAGCAATGTTTATAGTCAGGATGATTTGAAGTAACATCCTCATTCAATATTTTTTTCAAAGATTTTTGTTGAAATTCTTCACTTGCAATATAAGCATATTCTTCCTCACTATAGCCAGCTTTTTTGTCAAGTTTTAATTTCATTCCTTGTTTCATTATATATCGACCAGCTCGTGATTGAAAGAACGCTTTAACACTATTAATGCTGTCTAATTGCTTTTTGATTTCTTCATTTGTTTCATAACCGACATAAAATCGTTGATTAGGTTTTGCAACGTCATTGCCATCAATATTACTGCCCATTACAATTTTATTTGTTGATGATGAATGTCTTCTAAACGTTTGTTCAAAAGCCATCGAATCGTCATTAAATCGATTTTTATTTGATGGTCGATGAAAGATTTGTCGCATTTCTTCAGTTTGTGCCAATTCATATGCTGTGAAACCGTAATGATTTCGTAGATGTCGTTGACAACCATATTCATGTAGAAGTAGACGGACAATGTCTAAATGACCAAAATATGTTGCAGCATGAAGAGCAGTACTACCGTTAGGCTCCAGCTGGTTCAATTGATCGTAAGAAATACCAAGTAGCATTTGTTTGACTGTATCTATATCTCCATTTCTACATGCAGAATAGAACTTGCTTACTTCTAATAGATGTGGACTTTCCAGTACTTCCTGATAATTACTACGACGATTTTTTAATGATGATTTTAACTTTTCTTCCATTTTTTGGTAAAATGAGTATGTTAACTATTATGATTTTAGTCACAAAAATTTGATAAAATGACTTAGAATAAAAATAAGAAGAATACTAATTTATTTAGTGTATAATAGAATAAATTAGGAACTGTTGCGGACTTGCCTAATATACGCATATATATATATATTATATCATGGCCTTTTCTGTACCAATTAAATGACACATCACAGGGATATTTTTGTTTCTGTTTACTCATACATGTCATCGAGGTTTATTCCTTTCTCTTATGTATCATACATACCCACGTATTTTCTCTTCCTTTTTGTGTTCTTTCAGTTGTTTTTCTCTTCATACACATGGTGGTTAGTGTTATTGAATAAAACGGAAGTCACGTTAAAAATACTAACAAAACTTAGAGAAGTAAGAAAAATTATGTTGAATGTGGGTATGGGATGGGTCTGGGATGTGAGTGTAAGTGTGGGAGAAAAGAAGATCCATGTCTATACTCATACCCACATCAACCTACTCCCACACCTACCCACACCAACATTCACGATTCTCATCATCGTGCAAGCGCGCAACAACAAATTCTATCGAACTAATCAATAATGAACGTTTAAATTTTATTTTTTTGAACGCTTGCCAAATATATGCAAGCAAACAAGGAAAAACCAAAAGTGATTGAAAAAAATTATGAACTAGCAGGAAATAATCTTGATAATATAAGAAAAAAAGAAAAAAAGTTTGGAAAATATTTTAAGATGAAGAAAAAGATACATATGTATGGTATGCGTTATCAGAACAGAAGAAAGGAAGAAATATCAAGTATACATGATCACACATTAGCATTCACGTAAATTTAAAATCCATACGTTCGAAACGCAGCAACTGTCGCAGAAAACTAAGGCTTGGGCACACGCACGGACATGCATGATGCACGCGCAAAGCAGCTTCAGCGGCACTGATCTTGTGTGCGACCATCAGATAGGCGGTAACTATTGTGGCCGAACGAGATACACCTGCATGCAGAGAAGAAAACAGATTATAGGTTTTTGTTTTGTGATCTTTGCTTTTCTTTTTTCCCACCTACAGCACAGTGAACCAAAACAGCTCCATCTCCAGCCTGTAAGGACTTGTGGATAAAATTGAGTGCCACGGGAAAGCAAGCGGAGATGTCATAATTATCTTCATCATGTGCATCCATAGTGACAAGGATCACATGTGGGTGACCGGAAATGGCGAAGAAATCAGCGGGATAGGATGCAGATCCCGTCATATTTAGCACATACTTGATGCGATTATGCTGCAGCTTGTCAAGATTGCGAGCATCGGTTGCAGAACCAAGAAATAGACGCTCGCAGATCAATGATGGTGTGTCGACATCATCGTCCAGAAGTTTTCCAAACATTGTCGAATACAAACGACGAGCTACTTTTGTGATAGTCTCATCTTCTACAGAGAGAGCAGACTCAGACTCAACGTTCAGAACAGAAGACATATCCCTGTTGTATAGAAAGAACAAAAATACTGGAAGATATAGAGGATGTGGATGTGAATATGAGTGTTAGTATTCGTTGCATAACCACATTGTTACTACGAATTCGAGACCCTTCATGCTTTTTAAAATCAGAACGAAAGCATTATAATGGTTCATCACAGATATTAAAGACGTTTTAAGGGCTTCATAAATATGCATGAAACCTAATAAAAGGATTTTGAGTCCCTTGCAATTGTTGAGATCCATTTTAGATTCTGTATCAGACCGTTTTTTTTTTCATTATAATTGTATATTACGTCCTAATCTCTCATGAAAGAGAAAGAAAACTCTTATTTCATGACAAAACTCTATTATCTCTTCGTAATAGTGGAAAACAACATTGCATTTGTGAAACATCAAGAGGTTGACATTGGTGAAACAAATATTTTTGCATTGAGACTACTTCTCGAACTATTCCAATGAGTTATTTACCCTGGTCACGTAAGTATAGACACTGTAATCTTAGTAATTTGAATAACGCGCTGCTGTTGAATTCGATTCTTTTTGCGTTACACTGTTTTGCTTGGTTTTTTTTTCGAATGATTTGCTTGTTATATTTGCATCGAGGTTAATGTATTTTACATTTTTTATCTTTCTTCCTTCAATCTCCATTTTTTTAAAGTTCTTTTCTATTTCTGTCAATATAAGAAAAAACAAATTATATTTGTTGAAGTAATTACATTTCAAATGGATTACACACATTGAAATTCGTATGTGCATGATATGAGGAGATAGTTAGTGTCGTTCAAAAATAAACAGTGGTCAACGATAGTAAATTTCATTGAGAATCTATTAGCAGATATTACTATTGAGGGTTAATGAAGGACAGGTTATTTCAAAACTGACTTCAGATTTTTCTATTCACATATAGATGAAGCTTAAATTAATATGAAGTTGAGACAATCTTCCTGTAAGAGGACATCAAAATCAATAAATTAGAATGCAACTATCCTTGTCTTAATATTCTTCTTTTTTACGACAGAAACATGAGAACAAGGTCGAGAAATGTGTAAACTGACAATATTTTGTGTGTCCATTTCATCAAAATCATGTTTTTTAAAGCAAACATCGATGGCAGAGAGAGCTTAAAGTGGTAACTGTTCATATAGCTACAAAAAAGATCTTGATCTTCCCGCTGGACTTCCATGACAATACCTGGAATATTGTTCATCACATGTTGATCAATTTATTATAAGAGAATTCGCAAGTCATATGACTTGCGGAATATATTCTGTGCACCACTCAGTAGAAACAACGATCGACAACTTTCAACACTGGCTACGATTAACTTTCTTTTCATAAGTTTTAGTAGTGATATGAAGAAGTATCGATACAAGCAGATGATACATTTTCTTCGACTTTAAGAAATGAGGGCCATAGAGTAAAGAACACAGTTCTTCACGCTATATTCATACTGCAGATTGTTTTTTCTCATATCGACGTCATTTTGTTGACATTATTGACTTATGTGTGTCATTTAAATTGCGCTCTCATATCAAATTACCTCAAAAAATATTTGATTCATCCATGAAGGTAGTTCGTTTTGCGCATCTATTACGATATTATTCATCAAATTTCATGTATACAATTATTTGCAAAAAGAAAAAAAGAACGTCATTATACTTCCTAATAGTATAGATGATTATCGAAGTATATAAGATATTAAAATATATAAATGTCATTACATTAAACAACATGAGTCTTAGTGCTCTTCTTTTCAGTCTTCTTATTATTGGTTACTGTTCGGCGAGCAAATGTGGCTCAAACTGTCCAAGTAACAAATGTCCATCATGTCCGTGCGGTTCCACAACAAATTTTCAAGATATTGCGACATGGTGTGCCAAATTTAGTGATTGGGATCAAGCTTGTTGCCGTTGTATCGTTAAGGAAGAATCAAATGGTAACGCCAACGCAGCCTACTACAATAGTGCTAAATTGGGCTTCGATGTTGGTCTTTGGCAGATCAATGAATACTGGAACTGGAAAACGTGTAGTGGGGGTAAAGCACCTTGTGATCCGAACATCAATCTGGAATGTGCTAAGAAGGTGTGGCGCGAGGCTGGTAAATCATTTCGCCGATGGTCTACAGCAGCTAAGTGTGGGTGTTCTTAGTGATACATCGAACTTATAGAATTCAACAATTTTTACAACAAAATATGAACTTGTTCAGTATGAATATTCGCTTTTAACCAACATGGATTTAATTTTCTGTCTGACTGAAATATTATGTATTGAATTACTTTTCAATACCCCAGCATATTTGTCCTTTTTTTTCTCTTGTCTCGAAGATTAAAATGAGAATCACTGTTGAATAAAATGAAACTTTATACGATGCTTGTATTCATTCCTAGTAGAATATACTCAATCTTGCCACTCGTGAGACATACTGTTCAAATCTTTATCATGCTGAATGACAGGGATACCTTGATGAACGAACAAATGTGGCTTTTATTTAGTTTGGTTTGTCAGTCATTTGAGATTCGCTTAATCTGATTGAATCTATTTACTCAGTACTTGTCCAATGTCTCTAGAAGTTTCTGAATTTTTTTTAACACTAAAAATCTGATCCTATTCGAGGACTGACAATAATTATACAACGTGGAGAAATAGCTAGCCAAAGAATCGGACTCTTCAAGTAAACAGAAGATATAACTTTGATTGGGGATGAGACTCAATTATATTATACATCGGTTACATCAATGATTCTTTTGAATTGACTTTTTGTCTAACAAGAGAATACTGATTGTGTTGAGAAATATCCGACTTTGAAAGTATGTTGTTGTTTAATCAATTTCAATTGTCTGATATTTAAGAAACCAACAACGACGTACGAAAATAACTGAACGAATGGCAATATGATTGGTTCACGAATCGATAATTTTGATCAAAAAGCTATTCGAGAGTATTTAATTCGTCTTGAGTTCTGGAAACGTTACACAAAAGAAAAAATTGAAACAATCATCGAAATGGGTTGCCTTTACAAATACATTAACTTGAAAGCGTGGATATGAGGATGATGTGTTGAGCCACACATACATCCACATGCGTCAGTATAGGTCGAGCCGACTTCACTTTATAGAACTTTCGTTGGATACGAACTTGTTCAATAAAAAATATTAGAGACAATATAACGAGATTGTAGGGGTAGATATAAGTACGAATAGTTACTATTATCTAAATTTCTGCCCTGATAGAGGTTTCATCAGGCGGTTTGAATAAATTGAATGTCTTTTGTTATTTAGAAAGTTGAAGAAAACAGCTTTTCTGGATATCGAAATCATTCCCTTTCGAATTGTACTTCGTTCTAGGAATGCAGATGTCTTTTTTTTCAACAAACTTTCTCTTCACTATTTGCAATAAAAATTATTTATTTGAAAAACAGACAACAAAAATGTTCCACAGAAAGAGATGAAGGAAAAAAATAATTTTTACGTGTAATTACTAATGGATATTTCCATTTTGAACTATAAAGATGAACATAATTCAAAAAGAAATCAATAAATTCTGAAAATTCAATGATTTATGTTAGATAAAAATTAAGCAAAGTTTAGTTTTATTGCACTAGAATTAATATCATTGTCAGAATAAATTGTTTTCATTGGTTTGAAATGATTTCTAATTTGAGTTTGCACCTATAAATTAAATACATACTTTCATAAGTTCTCCATCATATAAATATTGCTTTTTAATACATTTTATTTCCTTCTATTTAATCAACAAACCTTTCAATATTTTGAACACGTAATTTTAAAAAGAAATAATTTTTATTCGACTCCGTATGTCTCTCATTTAAGAAAAAGATTGATTGGTGAGAAAAAATTTTTCTATGAAGTAATAAAATGTTCTTTTTTTTAAGTTTAATTATATGACATCATAATAATTTTCTATTGTCTGAAAACAAGTTGAAATTCCTTGGTAATATAATAATATATTGTTGAGTTCTACACGTCCGATGAAAAAATAAAGGTGTGGCAAAGAGAGCTCTAAATTTGAATTTTTCATTAGTTTACACATATACATATTCAAACGTTCGAGATGCAATGTTGTACCTCGAATGCTCTCATATTTACTTCAGTACAAAGTTGTTTACCAAAAATATAAACAATTGACGTCGATCTCTAGTTCGGAAAAAAGTAAATAAAATGAGAAAATGTCTAAAACAGAATATACATATGCATGTCACTTCGCTATTTTTCTCGATTAAGATAAGTAAAACATTGTTATTGAAGTGTTTTTATTTTTCCATTATTGTGCAGTTTTACGATCGAAAGATATCGTAAGAACAATTCTATTTATGCGTAGCTTGGATTTATGGCTGATTTTCTTATTGACTATCAATAGAACAGCAGGTAAGCAATCAATATTAGATTTTTTTTAATCACTAAAATATTTAAAAAATACAGTTAAAATCTGATGAATATTTTTGAAATGAAATGAAATGTATTCATTCTTACACAAAAAGTATCGATCAAGTAATCGAAAGTTTTGTCTTGTCTTTACAATTTATCTGTTACTCAAAATTAATATGTCATAAAGTATAGCAAAGCTCACATTTTCTTGTTAGTTATTAAAATTCATGATAAGAACAACATGTATTAGAATGAGCACAAGAAAAAAAAATGAAGACTGCATCAACTTTTCTCAGACTGTAATAAAAAGAAATTATTTAACTTGAATGTATTAACTGTGTTTCTTGTCAAATCCTTATGGTATTTTTGTCCATATTGATAATACTGTTTACTTGGCCAATAGACAATACAGGCAGATTCAACTGTGGCCGCAGGGCAATGATATTCTAACAACAATAAATCTTATATATAACAGCCAGCCAGTTAGCATTTTTGTTACTATTTTGGATATCGATAGGTTTTCATCACGAACTACACATCATATGGATACATTGAATGTCGGTGAAAAATGTTGGAGTTTTTTTGTCTATAATTTATCCTTGTATTGCTCCTTGTCTGACAGTCATCGAATTATCAAACAGTCACTCACTACTACTCAGAGCCGATTATTCAATGTTGCAGGCACAGGCTGTCCAGGATTTCTACTTAACATGCTTAATAATCCTACAGGAATATTTGTTGACGACAACCCTACCTTATATATAGCAGATTCTGGTAACAACAGAATTCAGTTATTTCAGTTAGGAAACTTGAATGGAAAAACAGTAGCAGGAAGCGACGCACCAGAAACAATAATACTTAATAATCCTACACATGTGACACTTGATGCTGACGGTTATTTATTTATTGTAGACAGCGGAAATAATCGTATTGTTGGGTCTGGACCTAATGGTTTTCGATGTTTAGTCGGTTGTTCAAGTACATCAGGTTCACCATCGAACCAACTGAATGCTCCTTACAGTATGGCTTTCGATAGCTATGGAAATATTTATGTCACTGATACTGGAAATAATTGTGTTAAAAATTTTCGTTTGGCAACTAATTCTTGTAGTAAGTGAGATATAAGATACTTAGATTATTAATAGTTGAGTAAATATTTTTTTTTTTCATTTATTTAAATAAAAAACATCGTTCATCTTTAGTGTAAATAAGTAATACTAATTAAGAAAAAATAAATGAGACGATTAATTCTATTTAATTCAATTTTTTCTATCACAGATGTGACAACTATCTTACAACAAACATCGATATTACCTGTCAATACAGGTAGTTTAGATTTCATCTTCTTTGTTTTGTTCGAATATTATTATAATTTCTAATAGAAAGTATAACAAATATTCTTCAAACAGGTACATCATCAATCATGACTTCAGTAGGAAATCTTTCATCGATGTCATATCAACAAGGTATGTTAAAATTCTATATTATTACATGACAGAATTATTAATAATTAAACTAATTTTTGAACGTGATTCATTTTATATGTAAATAGAACTTTGAATGATATTAAATACGACTAACATCTTTTACGTCGTACATCAAAAACTTATTAGAACAAAAACCTAGACATTAGAAAGCGTAATTGATTATTCATTAGTTTGTTTTGATTCAAAACAGAGAATACGTATTAAAAAAGAAAACGATTTTACTGTAAGATTTAATCGTAGATAAAAATGAATAGTCTTTTTCTTGTGAATATTCATCTTTCCAATAATTAATATCATTTTTGATCACTAAATGAGAATAAATATCAATAAAAGTTAGTTTAGGAAAGCTTTTTCAAATACATTGAATTGCTATTTTTAATTCTTGACCAATCTATTAATTAGTCATTCGTTTTTATTTCCAGAAAAATCTTTTCAAAGAAAAAAAACCATTCATTTTATAATTCCTACTTACTTGATGTTAGTCTCATTAATCCTTTCGTAAACATCCCATGTGATTCGCATAAAATAAAAACCATCAGTAAACTGTTCAGTATAACATGAGACATAGTGAATGAAAAGATTGATGTCCAAAAACGAGATAAGAGTGACTGATGTAGTCATAAGAAAAGAAAAGCAAATTTTGTTTACCAGTACGTAATTCTACACAGTTCTATTAATATTGACATTTGATATTTATATAAATAAAAATGGTGAATCAAATAAAGTGATAAAACATCATTAATTTTCTGTACTTCAAGTGAATAAATAAATTTTATCGTTACTCTTATTTTCGAAAGCTAGTTCATTGTATTTATGATTTTAAGTATATATTATTTGTTATTACTACTAAAATAAATTATTTTTGTATTTATGTGTATATAGGTATTTCTTATAATCGACCAAAATTCTGTGCACTAGCGATATGGAATCCCGATGACATAACTATCGCAAATCAATTCATAATTGGTTCAAAGCCTTCTGCTCTTTTTGTCACTACTAATAATACAATATATGTTGCTGATAGTAGTTCCAATCGTATTCAAGTATGGCTTCGTGAGTGTTAATCCAACGAGTACAATCTCTAGTGATATTAGAAATCCGCTCAGTCTCTTCGTTACTAATTCTGGGGATATTTTTGTTCATAATGGTTTTTTTCTATGGTCAAATGAATAAATGGTTATTCAATACGAATAATATGATTTCTGTAATGAATATTAGTGGACATTGTTCTGATCTTTTCATTGATATCAACAATATAATCTATTGTTCGGTTGAAAATTTTCATATAGTCGTTGCAAAATCATTAGATGATGCGTCCAATGCATTAAAACTTATTGCTGGCACTGGCTGTTCTGGATCTGCAATGAATATGCTTAATTATTCTCAAGGAATATTTGTTGATGTTAATTTTAACTTATATATAGCAGATTCTGGTAACAATAGAATTCAATTATTTCGATCGGATCAATTAAATGGAACAACATTAGCAGGAAGTGGAGCACCAGAAACTATTATACTTAATAATCCTACAGATGTTGTACTTGATGTTGATGGTTATTTATTTATTGTAGACAGTAATAATAATCGTATTGTTGGGTCTGGATCTAATGGTTTTCGATGTATAGTCGGTTGTTCAAATACATTTGGTGTAGCCTTGAATCAGTTGTATATTCCTCATAGTATGGCTTTTGATAGTTATGGAAACATATATGTTACTGATGCTGGGAATAATCGTCTGCAAAAGTTTTCATTATCTCCTACTTCGTGTAGTAAGTATTCTTCATATCTCATCAAAAGGAATAGATAGACAAGTTTTCTTGATAATAATATTATTTAAACTAGAAAAAGTTTTCACAAGAAAGTAAATGAAACAAAAAAAAAATTTTTAATTTTGTTAAATTTTATTATTTAAAAAAAAAGAATGTACTTGTAAACTATTCATATATAAAATATTGTAAATATATTATTCATTCAACGAAGACTTGTAAATTGTTCGATCAAAACTAAATATTTTTTGTTAGTATTCTTATAATCAAATCCGTCTTGTTTGTATCTAATGTTTGTTTTTTTACATTCATCGATCGAAATCTTTACAAACTTTACTCTCCATGCTATTGAAAAGAAAATATTTACTTGATCGTACACAAGCGCTTCGTTTACAGTATTTACAATTCAGATATTTATTTTTTGTTGATTCTATTATCGAAAGAATTTCAAAGACTATATCGAATCTAACAACTATATTGAATAGTTGATTGATTGCAATTATAAAATTTATGAGAAAATTCTTTTTTTTTTTTTGGAGAAGTCCGTTCTTATTCAAATCATTTATTCATAAAAATAAACTGACTTCTAATCGAATTTAAAAGGAATAAGATTCTAAGCAATATATCATCATACTATAAAAACTTATTTAAACTACTTGACAAATATTCCTGTTTTTCTTTCGCAGCGTACTTTTGAAACGTTTTCTATATACTAAAAAATCAATATAAAAATTATTTTCATGTAAACTTTTGACTATGGGACGTCGAATAATTCTTAAAATATCCTTTTGTTGAGATATTAAATTTTCGAGAAATAAAATTATCGCTTGCTATAAATACATTACAAAAGAAACCGATCTCAGCAGATGTTTCAAACATTCTATCGTAACTTCTTTTTTTTAGAATGATTTTAAAACCTATAATATTTCTACTGAAAATATTTGTTCGTACTGTTTATTTTCATTATTTGTTAGAGATAAAAGATATTAAAATTTTTTTTTTTTAAATAGATACAGTAATAACCGAAGCCATGTCAACAACATTAAGTCAAACATCAACACAAATTCTACAAAGTTTGTTAATTGAAAATTTATGAAAATTTTAAAATAAAATAAAATATATTTGTAGCACAATCGACAACAATAGAACAACAATCATCGATGAGAACAAGTGTTGAAACAAGCCTTTCAACAAATACTACAACTTCAATGATCATCACATCATCAATCAACAATACAACAACAACAACAACATCACCGATTTCATCAAATCAAAGTAATCATTATATATGTAAAAATACGAATAGTTTAAAAAATCTCATTATGTTTGATTTAGGCTGTTTTTCACCTATCATAACATTAAGTCCTAGTAATTCATCTTTAACATCACCGTTACAATATCGACAAAGCGAAGATTTTTCTATTAGTTCATATATTCAACTAAATTGTAATAGTTCACTTTCTATTATTACAAAATGGATCATTAGTACATGTATATCAACTTGTTCATTTCCAAGTTATCTAGGACAAACAATAAAAACACACTTAAGTGAAATTTTTATTCCAGCAAGAACATTTAATTATGGTATTTATAAGTTAACATTAACTGTTACAATGTCGATTGCATCTTATTTAACTTCATCAATTTCTGCTTATGTTAAAATAATTCTATCAAATCTTACAGTTAATATTATTCAATTTGGTACTTCAATGATTACACAAGGATATCAACAAGATCTTATTCTTGATCCAGAAAAATATTCAATTAATCCTGATACAAATACATTTAATGCCAGTGTATTCTTTTTTCTTTTTCATAGAATTATTTTGTTGTATATTTTACTTTGTTTAATTATTGTAGAATTGGAAATATGAATATTATTGTCGAATTTATGATTTTTCCAAATATTTTAGGAAATTTTTTAACTATTGATGATTCAAGAATTGATTTAAATAATCCATCATGTTTATCAAATCAATCAAGTAATTAATATTATAATTTTCTATTTAGATAATTTATTATTATCTATGATAGATAATGGAACAAAATCTTCATTAATTATTTTTTCTAATTCATTAAAATCAAATGAAATTTATCAATTTAAAGTTTCTATGAAAAATCTTCAAAATTCTTCTACTCAAGCTATTGGTTATCTTTTTGTTAAAATAGAAGATATTCAACAACAAAACATGAAATATTTATCAAGGGATCATGAGCAATACATCGAATAGTGTTCAATGAACTTTATTTAATCAAATGAAACAATATGAAAATATTTAGTTTTTTGGTATATTTATATATATAAATATATTACTATATTTATTTCAATAGCTAAGATTAGGATCTGAAGAAACAAAAATTCTCAAATTGATTTCTAAGTGAATCTCTAGAAAACGATTTCGCTTATCACGAAATCTTTATTTCATCGCATAAGAGCATAGATTTTTAGCCATGTTAACTTTCACGACTACGTGTTTGTTCTCTTATATCAGCTCGAGCTTCCAAAATCAGATTGAGAGATGTTTCTTCCGCTTGTCGCGACAACACAAAAAAGATTCTCTAGAGTAAGAAAAGTATGATATTCGGAGATCGTTGCGAATGCAATCGAACGATCAAGCAGAAAAATGAAAAGATCTACGATTTGTATGACGTTTTACAGCAAACTTTGAGATATAAGTGTATTTTCAAAGATCGATCTAGAAATTTCCTTACGATTCACTTGAAAATTTTAGTTTTTGCATCTTTTAAAGTAAATAGTAATTTTTATTTGTATTTTTCTACGTTCAAATACAACTAATTTTACTGCAAAAAATATAACTTATTTCTTTCGAATTCATTAATTAATTATTGGCGTTTTGAAGTAACTGATTCATTTTTATCAGGAACAAGTTCAAGTGCACTTGACTTCATAATTAATCACTCACCTCAATATGTTTCTTGTTCAATTAATCCTTACAATGGTACTACAAGTACTCTATTCGATATTTCATGTTTGAATTGGCAAGATCAAGATGGGATTCAAGATTATTCATTTTATAGTATATTTTCATTTTCTTATTAAATTAATAAATTATTCTTTTCTTTTTTTTTCCTCTCTTATAAATGAAAGGTTGGACAATAGATCCTACACAATCAATCATACTTGCTTATTCATCTGTACCAACTATTCAACTTTGATTGCCTGCTGGAGATAGTAATACATCGCTAATACATATATTTGCTCGTATTCGAGATACATTGAATTGTATCACAGAATATAAACTGTCATCAGTTATAGTTCGATCAGATTCAGAAGAAATTGAATAATTTCATAGAAATTCTACAAACATCTACAAGTGAAATAACAAATAATCCAATTGTACAAATACTTAATAGTGGTAATCAAAATGCAATTAGTCAAATAATAAGTTCACTTTCACAAGAATTTAATGAAATAAATTTTGAAACAATTGAAAATGTTATTGCAAGTAAATAGATAAATTAGAATTTTAATTTTCTTATTGAATTTAAATAATTTCTTATTAGATGGTATTCCAATGTCCAATATTGTTGTTTTATGATTACATAGTGAAGTTCAACAAGTAGTAAGTTATGATTCTTTTTTTTTAAATATCATTAAGAGACACAATAGACTATTGAGAAATTTATGAATATATATTTGAAAACATTTTAATATTAAGATGTTTTTTTTTAAACTTTTCTTGTAAACATAAGATAGTACTTCACTTCATTTGAGAGTGTGAATGCCATTGTCGATCTTGATCTTCATCAACAATCCACACCCTCTGTATATTGTATTGTTTAGTCAATAGACAAAGTCGACAAGAGAGAATATAACTTTATATCTATTATCATAATAAAAATAATACGAAAAAAAAAGAATTTTATTTTATATTGTTGAACTTGTAATATGAATATTATTATTATTATTATTTTGATATTATTAAATAGTCTTCTGTTTCATACAATGTATCTGCTTTGATTGAATACAATAGACAAATAAATATTTATGCTAATGCACGAGATTATTTGATAACATTTACAACAAATATTGTTGTCACAAATGTGAATAGTATTAAACTTCAAGCATCATCATTAGCACAATTGACTCAATCAACAAATCAAATAACACGAACAGATTCAGTAGGAACTTTTTAATTGTAGTCTTTTTCTTCTTTTTTGATAAATATTTATTGTTATTAGATGCTTGCCTCAGAAAAATGTTATCAATTAGCTTTTGCTCTATCTTCATTAGCAACAAAAGTTCCTTATGAAGATGTTCAAATAGCAGCAACACAAATTGCATAATGTGCTAGTAATGTATTAAATGTAAGATGAATCTTTCTTAGAATAATATTTTAAGACAAAAATCTTTGAAACAATATTATAATTCTATTAGATCATATTATTCATTTTTCTATTGAGGAAAAGTAATCAAAAATAGTAATTACGTTACAAAACAGCAAGTATCTACGATTGAAAGGCGTTCATCTATAGACGGTGTCATATATTTAACCATGAAATGAATAAAAGTTATTGTTTTCACATTTATTGATTGAATTTTGTCAAACAAAATTCTCATGTTCATTCTAGAAGAATAACGCTAATAGTTTTTTACCAATGGAAAAGCGATTGATCACTTGACAGTATTTTCTCGTTACATTTTTTCTAGAAAAATATATTTTATACAAAATTTATAATTTATATATAACTCTTTTCACTAGAAATAAAAAAAACAATTTGATTAATATAAAATTCATCAAAATTGAATAATTAATTATCATTTCAGGCTATAAATGGACCATTACAACAACGAACAAGTATACTTGATTTAGATTCATCTCGAGCAAATAATTTTCCAAGTGATTATGATACAGATTTAGAATTTGAATGGTCTAATCCAAATATAATTTTTTCGATAGATTTTAATTTAAAAAGAAATTCAATTTTATTAATATAGATTTATTTATTGATGGAAATGATTTTTTATGGGAAACAATTGAAAAAAAATCGAAATCTTTATTATCAAAAACAAACAGCAAATAAAATATCTATACAAACAGATGAAACAATATCAATTGAATCTCTTTCAAATAAATCTATTCAACAAATAATAATTCAATATCACTTCGTGTAAATAATATCATGTGTTTTTGATTTTCTTTTTTTTTTGTTTTTGTATTAAGTCAATACTTCAACCACTTGCTTCATTTGGTAATTCTCATTCTCAATCAAATACAAATCTTTCAAGATTAATATCATTATCATTATTAGATAATAATAAAAATGAAATTTCTATTCGAACAAATTTTAATCATCCTATTGAATTAATTATAGTTCGAGATGTAAATTTTATTCTACCATCAATGACTTTACAAAATGTAATTTCTTTTAATTTAACTTCTCATAATCAATTATTTAATCTTCATTTTATTAATATAACATCTAATTTTTCAATATCAATTCATATTGAAATTTATCCATTGAATACTAATATTAGTTATTTATGTATTTATAAATTTGATAGTACACCTCTATTAAATAGTTCAATTAATCAAATTGATAGTTGGACTTTATTTTGTCCTATAAGTAAATTTGTATCATTGATAATCAAAAAACAATCAATCATTTTTGGTTTACAAGAATTAAATTCAACTGAATTTATAAATTATTGTTCGAATTCTTCAATTAATAGTCCACCTATTACAAATGAAAGATTTAATTTTACAGCAAATTATCAACTTCGAATTTATACATCAGCTTATTATTATCTTGATTTAAACAATAATTGGCAATCAGATGGATTATTGGTAAAAATAGAATGTTTTTTGTTTTTATAAAACACAAACTAAACGAAATGTTAAAGTATAAAGATAGAAACTTGCCCTAGTAGACTAAGGTTTGGAACTAAGCCTTGCACTAGAATTAAAGGGTTCCTTCCTGGCTCGATCATCCTTTCTTTCCTCAGAATATTATGAAAGAATGTTGAACTTAAAAAAAAAATTGTCTTTGTCTCTCTTTCTTAATTCATTGTAATATATTACGAATAATATCTTTCATCAGGAATACTTCAGTACATCAAAAGTCATCAACTGCAGCATGCCAAAGTTTCTAAAATTATTCGAATAGCTTTATTTTCAATTTTTGTCACTACCGTAAGTGCTAATAGATATCAAAGTAATGATTTGTGTGCAAAATCTTATTTCCAACACACATTATTAGTTTTTTTAAAGACAAAATCTCTGGAAAAATCGAAACCTTAGTTTTTTTTCGCCTGCTGAAATTCTTTTCGAACTGAAATACATAAACTTTATGAAAAGTACAAAAGTAGTTCTTTTTTTAATGCTGTTTCGTATGGATACATCAATTTTGTATCTTCTCTAAGATTGATATGTTTCGGTTACACAAAAGTCTTAGAGAGCGTAATGGATAGAGAATCATTTTCATTGTCATTCTGAATGATTCGAACAGAATTCAATTGATGAATTTCAGAAGATAAAAGATTTTGATTTTGATTTTTAAGAGATTTTGTCTTTAGAAAACTAGTAATGCATGTCGGACATATAATTCTCTACATAAATCATTATTTGAGTTTTTATTAACATTTATAATAACTGAAAAATTGAAGATAAACTTAGTTGAATAGTTTTGGAAGTTACTGCATGCTGTAAAATATCTTGATTTATAAAATATTCAAACGAATCATATATCATATTTTAACTTTACAAAGATTTCACTAACAGTTTTATTGTTATTCAGGTTGGATCTCTAACAAAGCATTATCAAACTCAATGTTTTTCTACTCATTTAACTACATTTGCAAGTGTTTTTATTGTTTTTGCCAGCACCAATTAATTGGAATTATGTATTTGCTAATGTTGATTTTATGAAAAATAAAACTGTTTATTTGACTATTATTTGTATTTTTCTTTTATATATTTTATTAATTATTTATGCACGTTATAAAGATAAGAAAGGTCTTGAAAAATTAGGAGTAACACCATTATCTGATAATCATCAATTTGATCAATATTTTTATCAAATTATTGTTTTTACTGGTCATCGAAAAAATGCTGGAACAAAATCAACAGTAAAAAAACAAAATATAAAATAATTAATAGAAATTTTTTTATTTTACTATTTTCAATAGGTTTATTTTATTCTTTCGGGTAATGATGATGAAACACAAATTCGAACATTAGCTGATCCACATCGAACAATTTTACAACGTGGTGGAATCGATGCATTTATTATGGCAGTACCAAAGTAAATTTTTATTTTTCTAATTATCTCAAAAAAAAAAAAAAAGAAAATTTTTCATTTAGATCATTAGGATCTTTAAATTATATTCATATTTGGCATGATAATACAGGTTCAAGTACATCTGCATCATGGTTTTGAAAATATATTACTGTTCGAGATTTACAAACTATGGAAAAATTTTATTTTATTTGTCAAAAATGGTTAGCTGTTGAAAAAGAAGATGGTTTTGTAAGTTTTACTTTGTTTTTTCAAATAAATAAACTTTCTATTTGATATAATAATAATACAAAAAAACAAATATTTTAGATTGAACGTATTTTACCATTAGCGGATGAATATCAAAAACAAGAATTTTTATATGTTTTATCGAAACAAGCATATCATAGTATATCAGAAGGTCATCTTTGGTTTTCAATTTTTTCTCGATCACCTTCAAATAAATTGACACGTGTACAGCGATGTACTTGTTGTTTTGTTTTATTATTAACTGCAATGTTTTTAAATATTCTTTATTATGATCAAATAAAAGAAGCTCATACACAGATAAGTACAAGTAATCTAGCATTTGGTCCATTTTATATCACTTGAGAACAAGTTTGTTTAATAATTTAAATCTATTGTAAAATTTTCTTCATCAATAATTAGATTGGTATTGGTGTTATTGTTGAAATTTTTGCATTTCTTCCAAGTATATTACTTATTCAATTATTTCGACGTATACAACCTCGACGTTTTCATCAACAATTATCTCCATTACGTCAAGCAATTTATAAAATAAAACAACAACCAATACCGTCGTACGTAATTCAATTCTAGATTATATTTATGATTCATTAAATTAGTTTTTGAGCTATTATGATTTTCGGCATAGGGAGAGAGAGGCAAAGGTGCAGATTCTACCGTATAAATTGAGAATTTTCTTGATTGCATATTCGCTCATATTTGGCCTAGTGTTCAGTGTCCTCAATTACTAAGTAAAACTTACACTTCCTACTTTTCTTCGAATATTATATAATTCTATAGGAAAAACTTCTGACGAGAAAATCTCTGCAGGTGTTAAATCGCTTCTCGATCGAAATGATGTTTATTTGATAAATGCTAGCGAATAATAGAAAAACCAATTTTTTTGGTCACGGTGAGCCCAGTCCATGACCATGAAGCACGGCCCTTCTTCTCAACATAAAAAAAATATTTTCTAGAAAGAGCTTTTGCAAAGTTTTCGTTGGCTATTAAAAGTGTTGACCGGTGAGAAGTAGCCTGGCGAAGATTCCCGATTCCTTCTCCTCCTCAATGCTGAATCCTTGAATGTCCTCGACTATTTTAGTACTCGTGAGTCACACTGGGTATTAATCCTGAGATATTCAATATTCTTATATTTGTAAAAATAAGTTTTGTTCATACGAAAAGCTATATATATTCTATTTTTCTATTATTTTTCTTTTTTCTCATAGTGAAAAGACCATTGAATCTACTCATCAAAAGAAACGATCTCGACTAATGTTTCCATGGTGGTGTTTATTCATTGCTTATGGTTTATCTTTAATTTTTGCTACTATTTCAATATTTTTGATTATTGTTCGTGGAATTGAATTTGGTGATTTAAAAACTCAAAAATGGTTAACATCACTATTGAGTGGATTTTTTTCATCCATACTTCTTATTCAACCAATTAAAGTAGATTAAATTATTTAGACAAAAAAAAATTTCAATATTAAATTTTTTTTTCTTCTGTCTAAATAGATAATTATTTTGAGCAATATTCTTTGCTTTTTTTATTCGAAATACAGATAATGATGAACAAGCTGCTGAATTTATTGATGAAGATCATGTTAAATTAAATGATGACGAAGATTATCTTCATTCAATAGAAGTTTGTATATGTATAAATTATTCAATAATTAATAATAATAATAATAATCTATCATCAAGCTTTTATTTGTAAAACAAGTAATCAATTAGATACATATATTTATACAGGAAAACATCAAACTTATAATAGTGGTAGATATGTATATGAATTTCGTGGACGTCTTAATTATTTACGAAATAATTTATCACAACTTCATCAATTAAATTGGATTGATAGTCAAACACGAGCTATAATTATTCAATTTACATTATATAATTCAAATTCACAATTATTTATTTCAATTAATTTATTAACAGAATTTTTATCAACAGGTGGAATTAAATCACAATCACGTTTTGAACCAATTTCTTTTCAAGGTATTTATTTTGTTTTATTTGAAATGTTAAGAATTGTCTTTTTTTTTTTGTTTTTCTCTAGTATTTATATCATTATTTCAATTGATTTGTATGATTTTTTTTATATGATATTTATAATTTCTATGATGGTTATAGAAATTCAATCATTAATAAAACTTAAAATTGTTTATTTTCGAAATGTTTGGTCTTTTATTAACCTTGGTATAATTAGTTGTTCATGGACTAATATTGGAATTTATATATGGCGATATCGAGAATAAAATCGTATTGGTGATCTATTTCAAACCACTAATTGATATGCTTATATTAATCTTCAATTAGCTGTTTATGTAAATGATATTTATACATATTTACTTGGTTTTTTGGTACAATAAAATTTGTTAATCTTTGTCGATTTAATCATCGTTTAATGTTATTTCTAAGAACACTTCAACATGCTGGTAAAGATCTTCTTTTATTTACATGTATGTTTTCAATTGTTTTTATGGCATTTTTAACATTATTTTATTTATTATTTTTTTCAAAACTTTCAAATTGTTCAAGTTTATTACAAACAGCAGAAATGCTTTTTGAAATGACATTAATGAAATTTGATGCACATGAATTACATGAAGCTGCTGCATTTCTTGAACCATTTTGTTTTAGTTTATTTATATTTATAGTTGTTTTTGTTTGTATGAGTATGTTATTAACAATAATTAATGATAGTTTTCGTTTTGTTCGAGAAAATGCAAAAGTTAAATCGAATGAAGATCAACATATATTATCATTTATGTTTTCAAAATTTCAACAATGGATTGATATTGAAAATTTTATTTTAATTTATGATGAAAAAGAAAGATATTGCTTTTATTTTATGTCTATTGATAGGTTTTAGAAGATTGAATGAAGTAGAACAATTCGAAGAAAGAGATGAACAAATGAGATCGAAATATTTAGATCCAATTGTAAATTTTTCAGATAAAATGAATCAACTTTTAGATATACTCAAACGAGTAAGATTTATTTATTATTTGCATGTTATTCGTATTGTTTGGATTTAGTTTCATTCAGATCAACAAAATCATACATTAGAAAAAGAAGTGAAATTATCAATTGATACTTCAGATATTTAAAATCATGTTAAGGAAAACATGAATGATCAAATTTTAATAATAAACTAATTGAAAATCAAAAACAACAAACAAATATTTTTTATATTGTGATTGTGTTTTGATTGTTTGTAATGTTGCTTTTTATGTTTTGTACAATAATGTTGTTCTGTAGCATTCTAATTTAAACAAAAACCAATTTGATGTCGTGCCGTTAAAAAAATTTCCAATTGTTTCTATTGGGAAGGCGTACCAAAGAACACTGTCCTCGGGTGTATTTTGAAAAATATTGAGTCAGATATGTGTCCTGATGGATTACTGACTAGACAATAGTAGACGACTAGATAAGATTCTTGCTTATTTTCAAAAGTCGAATAGCGCGGTAAATAAACAATCGCTTATTATACCAACTTGACAAATTTCATGTGTATTGAAGATAGACTCTTGTATAAGCTTAAGATTTGCGGCTCAGATTATTTGAAGTAATATAGATGAAAGTACTATAATAATAACATTCGCTCAATCTTATGCTTCAATCAAAAATACTAATAACGCTACACAACTAGAAATGATCTGTAGGTTTAAGTATGGTTTTTTTCTCTTTATCCACCACACACTCTACGTCAAAAATTATTTGAACGAAGATTAATTTAAATGAACGATGATTTTGCAGAGGGTAAAAATAAATTTGATTGATCCACCCAATAATCATGATTATTTTCATTCTGATTATGATTTTTGTTCTCAAAGAATTAAATGTGACGATTATTCATTGAATTATTTATTACCCATATTTTCAATTGTCCCAAAGTTGAAAATGATATTCTCGAAAGCCATAACTCAACTAATATTTCATTCCATTTGAACATATTATGAATATCTTTAATGCATTTATTTTCCAATTGTGTACAAGCATCATTCAATCCTTCAAGTCCTTAATTATCTCGTAAGCCATGCCTAAGAAATGTTATCCTAGGATTTGTTAGAAGATTTTTCGAAACATGCCAGTCAAATAAACAAGTTGATCATCTGTTATGCTATTCGAAGAAAGATCAAATATTACCAATGTTCTATTGCAAATGAAAGCCTTAGCAAAATTTTGAATACTCTAGTGATCGATGATATTGTTGGCAACATTAAGTGTAGTCAGAGTTTTATTGATAAATAATGTTCGAGCAAGAAATGTCACTCCTTCATCTCGAATGTGATTATTCACAAGATTGAGACAAGTTAAGGCTATATTAATAAAGTGCCTGAGCGATCCAACGAGTACTAACATTCAAAATTTGATTTTCTCTCAGCCTTAATAGAGTTAGTGAGGCTGTGGGTGGGTGTATGTGCATGGGGATGGGGTGTGGGGTATGACTGTGGGTGGATGGGCATCGTATTGGAGTACAACAACACCCACACCCACATACTGAAGAAAGACATAAGAGAAAGAAAGAAGCAGAACAAAGACAAGAATTAAAAAGCGAGCCCATATCGATGACTATATGTAGTGTTGTAACCAAAACACATAATACCAAAACGAATCTTATGAAAACTTTCCTATCATAATATTAACTAAAGTATGATCAAATAGCATAGAAAGATAGAGTGTTTTTTCTCTATCGTTTCATAAGAAAAGAAACTCTCCATCAGCTTACTATAAGGCATTAAAGCGTCACTCTCACTACTTTTGGACTGACGTAAGTAGTATTACTCTGTTGGAAAGCTTTTAGTACATATCCTGTAAAAGAAGAAGAAGTTTATTTATTTAATTTTTCAATCATATCAAGTCGAGCAATATTTGCTAATGTACTTTTTCTATGGGGATGATTTTCATTTGATATAGATTCAAGTGCACGTTTAAAATATTCTCGTGCTTTAACCAAATCTCCATTAGCCATGTGAATAGCACCTAAATTATTCAATGCTGCAGCAAGACGAGGGTCATCTTTTCCACATATACTCAAAAGATCAGCAGCACGAGTAGCACATGATAATGCACGTTGAATATCACCTTGATCATGTAATATATTACTCATATTGCCAAGACAAGCAGCAATATCAAAATCATTTTTTGGTTTGATTTCGTGCTCACGTATAGCTAAAGCACGTTCAACATAATCAAGTGCTTCAGTAAGTTGTCGACGTGCCCATTGTGCATTACCAAGACCAATAAGACAACGAGCAATCATTATTGGCTCTCGTTTTGTTTCATTTTCAAACCATTGTAACGCTCGAGAATAAACATCGAATGCTTCGGCATGTTGTTTCATACTTTTATGGACTAAACCTAAATAAATAAGCGTTTCAGCTTGTTCTCGATCAGTAGCTTTCAATAATGCTTGTTGATGACATTCTAATGCACCAGATAGATTATTTAAATGTTCACGTAATAAACATCCATATTTATTTAAAACACGAACGTTTGGATTAATTATACGAGCAAAGATAGTTGCCGCTTGTGACCATTCACTACGTTCTATATTTTCATCGGCTAAAGCTTCATCATCACTAAAAAGACATTAATTCGACTAAGATCGATCATTGATCATAATAAAAATTTTTTTCGATATATGCATGCGATAATAAAGCCTGGTTTCAAATATCAGCCCTCCCCTCGCTATCAATTCACATGCTCTGAAAATATGATTCATATATCTTCTTTCTCTTGTGAATAACATATTCAGCGATATTTGCACTGGAAAAAAAAACTTCTTTTCATCGCTTTGCTATTTTACAAGTTACTGATGTTTTTTCTAACGTTAAAGGTAATTCTATATCTCTACTATTTTATCACCGAAACTCGTGACAGACAGTCAAGATCTTAGTTTTCTACTGAAATTTTCAGATGCATTGGTCAAAATCATAACGAAAATGATCTATTTTACTAAAAAGACAGCATTTAGTTTTCAACAGACACTCTTAATGAGAAAATAATATTTGAGCTATTTCAAAGTGATTTCTAAAAAAATTCGAACTAGAAATATCTACGAGAGTGACTTTTCGAATGAGTCCGTATGTTAACTGATTTATGGTAGATTGGTGCTTATGATCAAGACTTATTGTCGCATCAACAATATCAGATTAATATCATTAGGAATAGTCGTACTTTAGGATGGAACGGGCATAAAAATCTATCAAATAATTAACCTGATATCAGAATCTATTCTTTGTAACAAATCATCAATTGTTTTGCCTAATTTTGTTTGTCGTTGAATAAATTGTTCAAATAATTGTTCTCTATCATCTTGATTAAGTGCCATTAATTTAATAATAGTTAGTAATTGTTGACTACTAGTAGTAACAGCGCTTCTTGTTACACATAAGATTTGAAAAGGTGTTGCCATATCAATAAGTATCATCTCACCTAAAGTTGCACATAATGTATTATTAGTCATACGAATTTTAAAAAGAACATTATTCATCTTTTGACCACGATACGGTCGAGTAGCTTCTGTTAAAGCATTAGTTCTTGAGGATATTACAGGTAGAAAACATTGAAATGTAATAATATCTGTTTTTGATTTTTGTTCAAGTTGATCGATCAAATTGATTGATAATTTAGTACCAAAATAAACTTGTTTATAATTAGTTCCTGTTGATAAAGGTTTCATTTTTTTCATCAAATCATCAAGAAAAAAACGACTAAGTGATAATAATTCTTGATTATGAGAACGAAGAGCATTTGAAATAAGAATATGATATGGAAATGGATGACGTTGTTTATCAAGCCAAGTCAAAACTTCATTTGGTTTATATGATGTTTCAAATTGTTGAATATATGTTTTTATTTGATTATTTGATTGATATATAAGTCGGGCTTGATCTGCAAGAATTTTTTTTGTACTTTTTTGATCTTCAGTATGATTTTGCCATAAATAATAGAAATAGAATGCTAAATTATCAGTTCCATCTGTATTATGATTAAAAACAATACTGTTGGCATTAATTTGTAGTTCTTTCGCATCAAGTGTTTCAGAAAGTGATCGTAATAAAGTTTCTGTTTGAGAATAGACACCAATGACTTTACTTGGTAATATATCTACATCTGCAACTGTTGTTGATGAAATAAGTATAGCTTCAATAACTGTCAGAGATTCAAATGTTTGTAAAATATTTTCTTCTAGAGTTGTTGTTATTAAAATAACTACTTTATTTTCTTTTGATTGTTGTTCAATAAATGAAATACAAGATGATAATTCTTCAAATAATTCGATAGGTTCAATTGTTGCATTACGTATTAAGGTAGGAAGTTTTTGTTGTTGATCGAAAGCTACCAAACGTATTCCACTACTTTTTGATGCCATGAATTTCACTTGCTTCTCAATTATTCTTTTAAGAAAAATAGTACAAACAAAGTCTTATCGAGTTATGAAAAGAATTGAATAAAAACAAATTGTTTTTTTTTGTTCTATTCTTTCATTTTGTCTTACTGTAAGTGTCAATCACAACCTTCGTACGTGATTGATTCTCAAGTATGCATCGGTTAGTTTGCTTATACCAACAGAAATGAAGAGACGTTTTTTCCTTGAAAAAACTAAAGTAACTAAAAAATGTCACCAGAAATGAAATAATGTGGAGAAAATTTTTTTAAGATTAATAACAGATGTAATCAACAGCTGCCCAATTGAATACAGTCATTGTATCATTATGACTGTCGGTGTTGAGTGAAGATCATATCTTCACATATTATCACTCCTTGCCCACATTCATGCACTGTGTGCTATATGTTCATTAGATTAAAGCTTCGTCATCACCAGAAGAGATATTAAATCGATGAAAATTTATTAATTTTAAA